GTAACAACATATACACTACTATGCGTGTACTTGGCGCCTTTCTTTACTTTTTTTTTAAAAAAGGTAATTTTGTACAGATCCTAACTAACATCATGGGCGAACAAAATCTCCGCTTGCAGAGGGCTTACAATAGATGCGTCCGTTTTATTTTCCAGGCCAAGTGGGACGAACATATAACGCCTTACTTCGTCAGACTTGATTGGCTTAAAATCAGTTTTCGACGTTTGTATTTTGTGGGGAGCCTAACTTTTTCGGTGCTAGCGGAGATGAAAAGACCCGAGGTCATCTACTCTAACTTCGTGTTCAAACACGACATAGTCACGCGTGAAATAAAGGCTCCGCTTGGCACCTTGATTCTCCCGCAGTGTCGCACAGAGCTCTATAAGCGTTCCTTTTGTAGCTCTGCCGCGGAACTGTGGAATGGCATACTTCCGGACATACACAACGCGTCTTCTTTACCGGACTTTAAATCAAAATTGTACAACCACCTGCTTGCAATGTCTGGACAAACCCACGGCTTTTTTGTTTTTTTTTCTCGTTTGTGCGCTTAACGTTTTTTCTTATTTTTAATTTTCTCTTATTTTATTATACTTTTCTATCTTTTTCTTTTTTGTTTTTGTAACTAGTCTTATCTGCGTTATACTTTAATAAATAGATTTCGTCTATTTTTTATACAAATGTTTTTACGCTTTAGGGGATGTATCCCAGAGCGTGTATAAATAACGATTCGATTCGATTCGATAACGATTTGATTCTCTCTGTCTCCCTCCCTCCCCCCTTCTTCCCTTGTTCCTTCTTTTTTTAATTCAAACATTTAATCATTTTGTCTCTCAGATAATTGTAAGAAATATATCTAACTTACATGTTTATCTTTTCCTTATATATATTTTCTCGTATTTTCATTAACAATTAACGTATTTTCATTAACAATTAACATTCTTCTTTTCTCTTTTTTTTCTTTCAATATCTGGAAACTACATTTTCAATGCAAAAAGAAAAAATATAACGTAATGGTGTATTTTATCTGAAGTAAGCCAACTTTATACGATCTAAACAGATTTGAATTACAGCGGCTATCAACCAACCAATCAGAGCGCCCATAGAAATACGCGCGCGCTGTTGCAACGATTCGAATTCAATATGAGCCATGACGCCCACAACAGAGGCGTCGCGACGCTTCGACCTGCGCGGCGTTGTCAGTCTGAACGCGTTCATCATTCCGTACACATTGTCGTATGTCGCTTCAAGTCGGTTTCGATTCGACTTTTGTGCGGCGAAAAGTCATGTGCCTGTGTTTTCCAATATAAAATTACGAGAGAGTTCATCATCGGTGTAAGTGTCAATAAACTGTGGAAGACTAACGTTAAAAATATTTTTTAAATTATAGAATAGTTGTTTTGTAAGACGTAAAACATCTTTTGTAGATTGAATTTTTTATTCGCTTAGAATTTAATTTTTTAGATAAAAATATTCGAATTTTTGACAGTTCTCGAGTTAATAAATAGCATATATTTAAATTCAGAATTATAGATAGGTAAAAAAATCTTATTTAATCATAATAAAGTTCTAACTTAGAAAAATGTTTCAATTTTATAATAAAAAGAGCAAGGTTTATTATTTGTTTTTAATTTATCTAAAATACTTTTTTGTTTATTTATTGACTTAATGCACAAAAAATACATTAAAACTTTATAAAAATTAAAAAAGATAAAGAAATATTCAGTAACAGAAATTAATAGAATTAAAAATGTTTATATTAAAAGCTTATTTCTCAAGATTTAATATCAGGATTCTTAAGATTCTCAATTTAATATTAAAAATTAAAAAGGTCTAAAAAAACAGTGCATACAATTAAATTTTCTATAGAAAAATTTATTAAAAATTAGTTAAAGAATCCCAATTGGAGTATCGTCTCTTTTGTATCTTTTCGGAGAAACTAACGGCGTTACTTTTGTCTGTCATTTAACAAAAGAAACCATAAAAACTGTAAAAAAATTTTTTTTTTACTTTTAATAATTTCGGAAAAAACACTTTATGTGATACACACTATATGTATCCTGTATACAAAAGAGAGTACAATAATAATAATTTTTTGTAATTAAAACAATTATTCCGTAAAAATGTGTATGAGTACGAATATTATGACATTTCTCGGCGTCTTTGTTTCACAAGCAAATGAAAGCGATATTATAAGATCCCATGACTAGGTCAAACTTTAGGCTTTACTCGGTCAAGCGGTCATCACGTATCTACCCTCCACGATCATAATTTGCCTATATAATACAATCTTGCATTACATCGTAGAAAAGTAAAACAGCCTCAAAAGTCGAAACACATGACAAGTGAAACATTACAAAGAAAAAGATAAGAAAAGATTTTCTTATAGAATTGAGAAATTAAGATATTTTAATTTTGTTTTGTGTTTAATATCCTAAATATTTATTGTTAATATTTGTATCATATATGTAATAATTTGTAAAATATGTTTAGTTTTCAAATAAATTGCTTAATCATAGATTACTTTTGTAAACGGAGACGTTTCCTCGTGAATTAACTCAAAGTAGTTAATTCAATGTAGTATTGGATCATGCATTTATATTATAATTATATATATATATATATATATATATATATATATATATATATATATATAACTAATTACCGTTACAATTAGAATTACCGTTATAACTTTTCAAACAACAAGAATTTTATCTTAGAAATTCAATTTTATGAAAAGTTATAACGGTAACTCTGAATGAAATTCTAATGAATCATTAGTAATCGATTTAGTATCTATTTAGTCGGAGAAATAATTCCATATTAAGCATTCCTTAACACATTTCGATGTTTGTCTGAATACACATATATACAATCACATGCTATACGAGTATACTCACGCACTGATAAGAACGGTGATGTCACGAGCCAGACATTTTAACCTTAGGTTTAAGGTCAATCTATCTGCGAAGGTCGACTGACATGCGAATGGAATATCCAATAAAAAGGTTTCTTTGATCTGAAACTTATTTTTTATTGTCTAAAACTAAAAATACATTGTTTATTGCGATTTAGAAAACATTTATTGGAAATAATGAGAACAAAAATTGGTAAACTTTTAATTATTTTCATCCAAACTCATGTCTGAAAAACAATTCATGCAAGTAAATTCGCGATCAGACGTGCGCACACATTTGTCATGAGCCATATGACTGCATAACAAGCATTGTTTATTATTGGGAGTCGATGAAACGGCGTGGTATCGACTTTGCCCCGAACGTCGTTTTTCACTCCAAAAACATAAAAATTTTGAAAATACGCAAAAACTATTACCGGATTTGTATAGAGCATCAAAATCATTTACATATAGGTTCGCAAAAATAAAACTCGATGAAAGAGTAGAAATTTTTGAGAAATCAGAAAAATTACTTTTCGCCATCAAAAACGCTTATGTCGCGCTAAAAATTACACCGCAACTCAGAATGTCACCAAATTCCATTGATAATACTGGCACATAAAGACGGATTTACAGTAGAAAAGGCAAGTTTCTACGCCGCGATAGATTTAAATTGGCAAAAAAGCTAGTGTCAAGTTTGCCCCGGTGTCGAGTTTACCCCGGTCTCCCGTATATCTATCAATGCGCTTGATATTTTAAAAATTGTAGAAGGTTTGATATAGGCAAATTGCAATAAAGAATCGATTATAACTAAGGTACTTTCCCTAGATATAAGATACCTCAAAGAGACATATTTGTTCGATTGGTGACTCTATAATATACATATACAAGGTGTTTAGAAAAAGAGTAAGATATTTTAAGGAAATTTAGTATGCCCAAAAACAAGTTAAAAAGTCTTAATAAACATGGAGCCGCAAATAAGCTGTTTTCTAATATCTTTTTTTGTTTTTGATATTTTTATTTTTAAACAGACGACGCGCTTTAGGGCATTACTGTTAGCACTACCATACATAAAATGAATATCTGCCATTTCTGCTATTTCTTGGTGTAAAAAGCCATAATTATTGAAAATCGTGGTGCAACCAAACTTGTTGATAAGACCGCATTCGTCGACCTGGCTTTATTCGCAAACGACTCATTTGCGGACCCATTTTTATTAAGACTTTTCGACTTGTTTTTGGACATACTAAATTTTCTTAAAATATTTTACCCTTTCTTTTAAACACACTGTATATAACTTAACAGTTGCATTATTTTATCTCAATTTTTTAAATTTATTTTATTTATTTAAAGAAAAAAACAATAGATAACTAAATATATATTTGAAAAGTTACTGTTCATATATAATAAATACATTTATTTCTATTAATTGTAAATAACACATAAGCACATTGCGTACATATTTTAATCAAATTATATTAGAATTATATTAGCTATTCTACGTGTTTTTTTACAACTCTCATGAATTCTTTTATTGTATTTTTTAATATGCAATGTTTACCTTTCGCTTTCATTATAATATAGCTCAAACAAAGCAACAATACAAGTTGATAATCATCATACTATTTTCTTACATTACATGTAATTTTGCATTTTCTTTTTGCTACTATGGAAAAGAAGGTTTTATAACAAAGAAAAAACTCTCCAGAAATAATACTTTCACTTTTGTACATTAAAAATAAATTAAACAGGACTTCTATCATAGTAATTTTAATAGAATATTAAATAGATTAAAGACAATTCTCTCCCATTTCTAGATGTCCGAGTCTGTAAAAGTGGCGGTGAGATGTCGGCCTATGTCCAACAAAGAATTGCAGCAAGGATGTCAGGTATGTCAGATACACCGACTAACAATAAGTGTCGTTCCATTTACTATCCATATACTAAATGCAAATTTAAAACCAAATTTTAATATTTATTACTATTATACAATATTATTACGACAGTAAATAATTAATTTGGCAAAAATGTGACTTATCTTAGTCAACAAAGAAATGATTGAGAAAAGATTGAAAAAACTTGAAGAAAGATTGAAAAGCAAATGAGTAAGAGGAGGAAAGAAGAGAAGGAAGGAGAAAGAAGGAGAAAAGAGAGAAAGGAGAGAGGAGGGAACATGTGCGAAAGAAGAAAAGAGAGAGAGAGAGAAAGAGAGAGAGATAAGAAAAAGACAGAAACGAGAGAGGCATACTTATATCCTAATCTTTTGTGACATTTTATTTATTTTAATGCCATTTCTTGAACAAATCATAATTTATATTGAAATATATATACACTACGTTCTCATCAATTTTAAAAATTTTTATATCTTTTATTTGCTTATCTTATATACATATATACATGTATATAATCTTATAGACATATATTATAATTAATATTAGTTTTTAAGGCTCATTAGTCAATTAAGTTCTTTTTTTGATTCATCTTCAGTCAGACAAAGTCGCTTGAAAAGCGTTATTGTCATATATCGAGCGTATTGTAACCTAGCGACCACATCAAAACATGCGCACATGTTTCTTCACGCGCGGATGTTGCACTTTTCGCTGCAGCCAGGCGTCAAGTTTCTTATACCTTTGCGGATCTCTCGTTCTAGGTATAATAATTGGAGTATATTTGACTAAAATTACATACTACTTTCTAACTCGTTTAATTAAGTAATTTTTTTCCTCATATATCTAGATACAGGGTGAGTTTTATTTCGTGTGCCAATTATTTCAGAAAGTATTAGTGTAGTTGAAAAATGTTTCAGATAAAAGTTGGAGGGTTCAGAATGGACCAATAAACGTTATTAATAGATTTTGGATCCAGTGCTTGTGTTGGGTCCTACTGGGCCTTAATGGGCTCAACATGGGCCCTGGACTCAAAATCTACTAAGATCGTTTAGGGTAACTCCGGTATTTACGCCGCGGGGGTTTTACGCCGCAGATGTCAGAAAAAATAGAAGGAATGAAGGTACTTGCTCGCAATTATTCTGTTATGTGCTTTTATGCCATATTAGTATTTTGTTGTAATTTCAGTTTTTTACTGTTAATATTAACAAAACTGTTGTGAGTTGAATCGATTTCTCACCGTAGTAAGAAGCGCGATCTTGTGTTACGACCTACGTAAAATGATTACTGTAGGGAATGTAAAAGGTTTAATGGTTATTTCATGATACATAACTGTAGAGGGATAGTAAATAATATAATACAGCAAAATACAAGTACATAGCTCTTGTATTTTTTGTTTAACTTAATATCTTGTATATCCCTTCTGTTTAGGATATACGGCAAGTTAGCATGCGGAATTTATGCCACAGTACAGACACTTTGTAAAACTCGAAATTTCTTATGTGTTCTTTTTCCTTCTTTTTTTTTGGATCGTATAACAATAATCTTTAATGCATCTATTGCTCTTCTATTTTCTTTTTAAAATTTTTCAGTTTTATAATTTGTTTATTATTCTAACATCTTAATAAACTTCTTACACACATTTTATAATTTATTATGACATTTTATTGCCTTATTTATAAACATTTGTAATTTTTTATAAGGCGTATATTTTACCCATGAATGTTATATAACCCACCCCTCTGGGATATATGGCAAAAATGCAAGGGTTTCTAAAAGTTTTTCTTGTTAAATACAAAGAATGAATATTTTATATTTCTATTTTTTTTATAGTAGTAGACAGTATAAAGTTTTTATTGGTATAAATTATTTGTTTTAGTTTTAAACACAGTAAATAGTACTCGATAAATAAACTTGCCTTTTACTGGGCCGTATATACCGGAGTTACCCTATTGGTCCATATTGAACGCTCCAACTTTTACCTGATACATTTTTCCAAAAACCAATACTTTCTGAAATAATTGGCACACGAAATAAAACTCACCTGTATAAGTATAAACATGTAATAAAATTATAAAAAATATATTATAAAAATATAAACGTAATGAGTTACATAAAAAATATATAATAAAAATATAAACGTGATAAATTATATATGAGTATAGTGAATGAGTGCTGGTCAACGCGCGCGTGTGTATACACGTTCCTCATACAGACACACACACACACTCATACATTTACGTATACATGTATGTACATATATACAGTTATGTCCAAAATTATTAGCTCTCAGCGTATAATATGAATAAATTCCACTATATACACAGTTATATCATGGAAGAAATTTTATAGTCTTTTGTAGAGAAATTTTTTGAAAATTGATATCAAAAATTATTTTCCTAACAGAATAATGCTCTCACATGGCCACAAAAGAAGTAAATTATAATTATAATTTAAGCAAAATAAAGTCAAACTTTTATATTGGCCATCATAAAGTCTTGACTTCAAAACCTCATTAAACAGTAGGTCTTACTGGAAGGAGGGAGAAAGAAAGAAGGTTTAAAAGCGATAATGCAATTAAAAAGAAAAATTATGGCAATGTTAAAAGAGTGAGATAAAGCACTTTTGCATCTAACTATGAAAAATTTGATCAACTAATTTCATAAAGTGTATTTTAAAAGTTATAAAACATAGAGGAGGAGTAACAAAATATTAAATATTTGCAAATAAAGATGTGGAAATAAAGACTTTTATTTATAATCTTTAATTTACTTATTTTTATGTAAATTTTAGGAAATACGGAAAAAATACTCGCTTACCTAATAATTTTGGACATGACTGTATAATAATACACACATATTTACATACGAACATTTGTATTATAATTTTATTTTATTTTAATTATACATTATATTATAATTATATATTATGAATAAAACTTATTTCAAATAACCAGATTATAAAAATTAGCTTATTATACTAGGTTTTTAGAAAACAGGTTAAAAATTGCGAGGTTCTATCCGTTATAACATCATTGTGTGGCAGTTGCATGTAATACAAACAATACCACATTTATAAGCCATTTATCGATGGCGAGTGGAATATGTGCCAAATCGATAGTCCGGCCAAGTCACTCTACCATCTTTCCTGTAAATGACGACACAAGCTCTGTACAGGTATACACGTACACACACACACATAGATGTATCGTCACACTTTCCTGCTTTTAGTGACGTTGCGACTCACGCGATTAGCACTTTGCACGTTCTATTTTAAAAAGACAGCCGCTTAATTTGCGCATCAAAACTCTGAATACAATTTTTATTTTTGCTTTGTAATTACGTAATTATAAAATATTCCAAGAATTGCAATACAGTGTTCACAGTTCCTTAATTTCTTTGACCAAAGAATTTTTTTAAAAGTTTACTTTTTCCCTAAACTATTTTAAATTAAAGAAACATAATATAATGATATTTAATTAATTTACTAAATTAAATGTTCTTAAAAATATATTTTATGTGATACAGAGCTATGAGAAGTTTTAATGTAAGATTAACCTTTTCATAATAGAATAAGTTTTTATCTTTAATTTTAATTAAAATTTATTATTATTATTTTACTTTGTATACATAAAGATTACTAAGATTACTATGGGGACGGCGAGATGACAAGCTCAGCGCAGAGGGCAGCACTGAAATTGGGGACATGTCATATGTTTACGTTTAATGAGTAGAGAGGTTTGGAGAATTTTTTAACATATGCCGGGGGAATGTATGTGGCATATGGATGTAAAAATAAGGGAGGGCATCGGTTTCCGAGGGACAAGATGATGAAAAAACGGTGGATCACTGCTATAAAACGCGATTTATGTCCGAATATAAATTCGCTGTGCACAAACCACTTTAGACCTGAGGATTATATTACCACCGGCTTTAAAAGTAGTGAGTTTACAATAAAATTAATAGACATATCTATAATGAAACATATGTTTAGTCGCGAATTTGTATTCGAACATAAATCCTCGCGTTTTATAGCAGTGATAATCCACCGTTTATTTTTCATCATCTTGTCATTCTTGTCCCTCGAGAACCGATGCTCTCCCTTATTTTTACATCCATATGCCACACACATTCCCGGCATGTTAAAAAATTCCGAAATATTCACGTTTATGTACACAGATTTTCTCGTTAACGATATGCTCGGTACTCAGTGACAGCTCGGTGCGTCTCCAACTTTGCTAGCGCCCCTAGCGGCTAAGAGTGGCGCTCGCCGTCCCCATAATTCTCAAAGTAATTAATATTGAAAACTAAAGTTACAAAAGCTGACAAAAGTAATATAAATTTGTATTAATAATTTGAAACTACATAAATAAATATTTCCTACACAGATTTTGAAAAAAATTCAAATTTTGCTGTTTTTACTATTTTTATATTATACTAGGGTAGACCGGGGCACGTTGTCACGCGGGGCACGTTGTCACTTTGGCTTTATTTAAAAAACTAATAACCGGAGGGCAGCACCCGTCATTCCCAAAACGTGTTAGTGTATGCCCATCTTTGGTGTGTTTACAGTCTTGAGATTGCGCCAGCCGTGTTGACGTAAAATCAACTTGAAAGTTTTTTGCGACTGTAAGTAAAATTTTATTGTCTCAAACGTGTCGGACATGAGGCTGTTTGAAGTAAAAAAATTCCCTCGGGGCACGTTGTCACAAATTTGATGGGAATCTATTCCGAATCTTCGGATGACGATAACGAATAAAAATATTTTATGTTTAATCACCGACATGATTATAAAAGAAAAAATGTTTATCAATAAGTTGCGCATTCGAGTGGAATTCTTGCCTATTTAGATTAAGACGAAAACTTCGTGCTTCTTGTACTTTTTTGAAATAAAATAAATGTTTCTGTGAAGGATTTTACTTAATTACATTGCAGCGCACTATAATATATTGATATTTACGTTGTATACAGTTTGGATTACATTTTGCATGCAATTACATTTGATGTGACAACGTGCCCCGTGCCCGGGGCACGTTGTCACAAGCGACCTGTCGTTATTTATTGTTATGTAACAACTGTAGAGTAACAATCACACAAAATTCGATACTGTCCAATTAAAGCTGAGGGTTCACTCGAAATTTTGGCATATCAAAGTACTCTTAAATATTGAATGTAAAAAATACAAAAAATATTGAAAAAAATGTGTGACAACGTGCCCCGGTCTACCCTATATTTTATTTGACACAAAAAAATAAATTATTTGATTTGTAATGTTTAATTATTTTCTGATTAAAAAAAGAATTTATATTTTTAAGGCACTATGCTATGTACACGGGAATAGATATAACGAATTAGACGGGTAGATAGCGCATACTCATGCACGCAGTGTCCTTGTCGATCGCTAAATAATTTATGCACGACATACGTAATCCATATTACCGTAATTCACTTACAGCATTTACTTAGCTAGCTTCGCTACATATATCAATGAAGCGACGTCCATCCAGGCGAAGGGAGACAGTGTGTCAATGCACATTCTAACATTCTTATCAACGATCGGAACGTTATTATGTTATACTCTACATTTAGCGCTAAAGCCGTTCGATATGCATTTCACGCTAAAATTACATGATTATTATTACTTTTTACTAATTTTATATAGCTATTTTTATTGTTCTTATATTAATTTTGTTTATATTTAATTTTACTTTTTTTATTTTTTATTGATTATGTTACTATTATTATAATTATGTTATTATTATTACTATAACGCGTTACTATTATTTTCTTTTATTAAATAACTCAGGATTTACAATTATATACATATAAATTATTAGTTTACAGTTATTTGCATTGGTATTTTGATTAAAAAAGTTGTGAAAAGTTGAAAAGTTGAAAAGGTGAAAAATTTTGATTAAAAAAAGATTAAACGAGATAAAAAATCTATCTTTTTTTTCAGTCCAAAATTTTTAGAGGTTTTAATATAACAAATCTTATAAATAATATAACAGTATTAAGTACTATTATCATTAACTTATTTGCGTTACATTAATTCTTTTAATATTTTAGTACATTACTTGTGTATAATATGTGTATAGTCATTTAACAAATCGTTTACTACAACTTTGTACGAGTAATCACATAATTTATCGTAGGTCGACATATATTATCGTTCCGTCCAAGAGTTTCCCAGCCGATAATATTTCACATTCTCGTTCGTGGAGTTTCTTATTCGCGGAACTGTTATTCCGCGAAACTTGCCGCATTTGTGAGTCATCGTACTTTCAATTGACCAATTATCGAACGTATTTTTCGTTATTATGTTCGCAAATTTTTATTTTAATGCATCGTAATATCATAGAATTATCTCATATTTCATTGAGTCGCTCTATATATGTCATTATTAATTCCATTACCCTTATTATGTCTGTACAGGGTGTCTCTAAAATCTGCTTTGTATTTTAAGAACGGCTGAAAATATGGAAAAATGTTGAAATGTTTTCCACCTCTTTTTCCCCCAAAAATAACGAAAGAGAACATCTCGAAAATTTTAAATGGCAAGAAAGAAAGAGAGAGAGAGAGAGAGAGAGAGAGAGAGAGGGTATAATAGTTTCGAGTATTTATAATATCCACCTCATTTAAGGTCTTGTTAAAAGAAAAATTTTAGGTACAAATTTTTGGGGCCGCTACATTGTCCATCTAAAATGGCGTGGATGATCAAATTTAAATTATATAAGGTAACTTCGGTATTTACGCCGCGCGGGGATTTACGCCGTTGAAGTCAGAAAAATAGAAGGAATAAAGATACTTGCTCGCAATTACACTGTTATGTGCCTTTATGCCATATTAGTATTGTGTTGTAATTTCAGTTCTTTACTGTCAATATTAACGAAACCGTCGTGAGTTGAATCGACTTCTCACCGTAGTAAATAGCGCGATTCTATATTACGACCTACGTAAAATGATTACTGTAGGGGATGTAAAAGGTTTAATGGTTATTTCATGATACATAAGTCTCATAGAGATATAAGAATAGAGTGCGCGAGTCATATGCTAGCACGTAAAAGGCTGCGATATAGGAATAGAAAAAGAACGCTGCATGTAGGCTCTTTCTGTCTTTGTTTACGCGCGCATGGGAAACAAAGACAAAAGGGGCCCACGCGCAGCTTTCTCTTTCTATTTTTATATCGCTTTTTCAGCTTGCTCGCGTACTCTATTCCTATATCTCTATGATAAGTGTAGAGGGGTAATAAAGGATGGAATATACAGCAAAATACAAGTGCATAGCTCTTGTATTCTTTGTTTAGCTTGATATCTTGTATATCCCTCCTGCTTAGGATATACGACATTTTTAGCTTGCGGGATTTACCACAGTACAGACACTTTATAAAAATCGGAATCTTCTATGTGTTCTTTTTCTTTCTTTTTCTTGGATCGTATACCAATAACCTTTAATGCATCCATCGTTTTTCTATTTTCTTTTAAAAATTTTTTATAATTTGTTTATTATTTTTACATCTTAAAAAACTTTTTACACACATTTTATAACTTATTATGACATTTTATTGCCTTATTTGTAAACATTACTTGTAATTTTTTATAAGGCGTATATTCCACATATGAATATCATTTATTCCACCCCTCTGGGATATATGGCAAAAATGCAAGGGTTTCTAAAAATTTTTCTTATTAAATACAAAAAATTAATATTTTACATTTTTATTTTTTTTTATAGTAGTAGACAATATAAAGTTTTTATTGGTATAATTCATTTGCCTTAAACATAGTAAATAGTACTCAATAAATTAAGTTTTCTCAGGTGCGGCGTATATACCGGAGTTACACCAAAATATTTAGTCAAGAAAAAATTTCAAGAGAAATATTAGGCATGTTAAGAAAAAGAAAATCAAGTGGCACACTTAAAAAATAACATTTAAATTTAAAAATAACAATTTTCTGAAACTTAGTTAAATATATATATATTATATATATACATATATATATATATATATATATATATATATATATGTCCTTATAAATTATATATAACCATATAAGCTCTTATTAGGCCAAAATTCATATATAAGCATATAAAATTGCTTCTTATATGAGCACATAAGACATTATAAAAGATTTTTTTTCCCAGGCAATTTTGTTACTGTTCATTGATAACTTCAATCTTTTGCATTAATTGTATTATAATTGTAAGCATTAAAGAGCTTTATCTCCTATGATTTTAATAAATATTTTATTATTAATATCCTGATAAGCTAAATCAAGATAAACCCATAATTATAAAAATTTAAACAGTTAATATAACAGTTAAAGGTCGACATTATAATATAAAAAATGAAAGATTTTGATAATGACATTCCACGTTAAATATCATTTAAAATGCTATCATATTGAAAATTTCTATTAAAATTTTACATTATGAAAAATTCGATAAATGAAATTCTAGATCTACTTTCTCTTGTTCTGCAAAATGATCGATATTATAGTGCGGAAAATAGGAAACATCGATTATCATATTTTGTCGATTCTTATCACATGTGTATTTTCCACTGACACATTTGTCGCAGAACGTGGTGACGATCGATCCGCTAACAAAATCCTGCACGTTGGAAAATACCGCCAGTGGAAATGGAAAAGTCTACCAATTCGATGCTACATTCAGCCCGTCCGCTACAACAGAATCGGTCTACGAAGATGTAGGTTCCGTAATCGTTGAGGCTGTCTTAGAGGGTTACAATGGCACTGTGTTCGCTTACGGTCAAACTGGTTGCGGGAAATCATTTACAATGCGAGGATTCATCGAACGTGCATTGGAACATTTATTCGAGGCGACTTCCACCGCCAGTTCCGAAACAAGGTATTCTTCAAACTCTTAAACAATGTTTGCCGCGGTATCTAGATAAAATTATCTAGATGATCATCCAGATAAAGAAATAGAATTATCTTTATCTTATCTAGATGGAAAAATAGAAAGTATATTCATCTTTATCTTAGATGAAAAATCATGTTATCTTATCTAATAAAAATTATCTAAGATAAGATTTTAATTCTTCCTGTTATTTCTTTACCGCAGTTTAAATTAAGGAGGTTTGATGGCTTCATCGGAGAGAGTAGTGGGACGCGGGGGTTCTGGAAACAGCGCACTAGCGTTTGAAGTAGTGGGAATGAAGGGGATTGCTCTGATTGGTCGCCGCGTGTATAATGCGTGCTGCTGTCACGTCGTTCACGACCATGACAGTCCAGCAGACGAAAAATCAAGCAATTTATGCTTTAATAATTAATTTTTCTACGAAATGTGCGGTAACCTTCCCCTTTCTTTCGCTCATTTATTTGTAAATTATTAAGTTACATGTGCAAATTTCTTTTTCTTTATTATTTTGCATTTCTTCTTGCACTTATTTCATTCTGAAGGTATATGCAATATGTCATTTCCCATAAAAACCTATGTTAAAAATGCAGCCAGTTTTATGAAATTTTAATATGTTGTTCTGGAATGCAAAATAGAATTATGTGAATTTTTGGAAAATTTTTCACCGTCCCGTTTTAAAAAAAATCTAATCCAAAAATTGTACTTTTTAAATTTTTGGAGTAGATTTTTTTCAAAACGGGACGGTGAAAAATTCCTAGTAAATTCACATAATTCTATTTTGCATTCCAGAACAACATATTAAAATTTTATAAAATTCTCTGCATTTTGTTGTAGCCATCGAACCTCCTTAAATTAAATTTCAGAACATTATATATAGGGTAACTCCGGTATATACGCCGCACCTAAGGAAAACTTATTTATTGAGTACTATTTCATATATTTAAGGCAAATGAATTATACCAATAAAAACTTTATACTGTCTACTACTATAAAAAAATTAGAAATAAGAAATATTTATTCTTTGTATTTAACAAAAAAAACTTTTAGAGACCCTTGCATTTTTACCATTTATCCTATAAGAGTGGGATAAATGATATCCATAGGTAGAATATACGCCTTATAAAAAATTACAAGTAACGTTTATAAATAAGGCAATAAAATGTCATAATAAGTTATAAAATGTGTGTAAAAAGTTTATTAAGGTGTAAGAATAATAAACAAATTATAAAACTGAAAAATTTTTTAAAGAAGTTAGACGAACGATAGATGCATTAAAGGTTATTGTTATATGATCCAAAAAAAAAAAAAGAAAAAAAGAACAGAAGATTTCGATTTTTACAGAGTGTTTATACTATGGGATAAATCCCGCACCCTAAAAATGTTATATATCTTAAACAGGTGGGATATACAAGATATCAAGCTAAACAAAGAATACAAGAGCTATGCACTTGTATTTTGCTGTATTCCATCTTTTACTATCCCTCTACACTTATGTATTATGAAATAACCATTAAACCTTTTGCATTCTCTACAGTAACCATTTTACGCAATCGTAATATATGATCGCGCTATTTATTACATTGAAAAATCGATTCAACTCACGACGGTTTTGTTAATATTAACAGTAAAGGACTGAAATTACAACAATACTAATGTGGCATAAAGGCACATAACAAAATAATTGCGAGCAAATACCTTCATTTCTTTTATTTTTTCTGACTTCTGCGCTGTAAATCCGAATCGGTATTTACGCCGCGCGGGGATTTACAGCGCAGAAGTCAGAAAAAATAAAAGGAATAAAGGTATTTGCTCGCAATTATTTTATTATGTGCCTTTATGCCACATTAGTATTGTGTTGTAATTTCACTCCTTTACTGTTAATATTAACAAAACCGTCGTGAGTTGAATAAAATTGTGTAAAGACACATTTTTGAAAAAAGTAAATTATTTACACTACAAAAATATCATTACACTAGAAAATAGATCAACTTCTAGTAGTAGCAGAGAGGATTTCTGTCACAATATTGAAAAAAATGAAAATATTAAATAAACAATTATTAGAGATAACATCAAATTTCATATTTGGAATTGAATAAATGGAATTAAAAGAACTCCAATCTCTTATAAATTTTCAAAATGTTGAAAACATCTTTTTTAAATATAATACATCCCTGCCACATCGCCGGTGCTAGTAGAACGCCTTTTAAATATTTAGCACAGCAAATAAGTGTAGGTACGTCGAAATTGCTTATCAGACAAAATATTCAAAAACTTTTATTTTTGAGAAATAAAAACTGAAAATAAAATTGTGAATACTGTTTTAATATCTTTTTTATAATCTGTGTATTTTTGAAATAATTTTTTATAGATAGTCTGATAAACACAAAATTATCTAGATAAATCACAATAATTATTTTATTTTTTATCGAGATTAATTAATAACAAAATTATCTTTATACCTCATCTAAGATAAATTTACGGATTTTCATCTTATCTTCAACTCAAATGATTTTGAAGTCATGCATCTAAGGCAAACGCTGCTCTTAAATCAATTTCTACAAAAATATATAATTTACACAATATTCCATTTTAATGGAAACAAAACATATACAGGATAATTCAGAACAAACGTTTGTCCTTGAAATGTCGTATTCCTGACTTAATTCTCTAAGACGACTTTTTTCCAAAATTTTGTTCAAAGCTTAGAGTTTTTAAATTATAAGAAGAAATAGTTTACTTATCACAGGTCGGGTACAAGAGATAGGCAAGGACGGTGAGTTACAACTCACAATCAGACGCGGGCGCTTACGTGGAACCTTTCCCTCCCCCACGCCAGCGCCCTGTATATACCCAACCTGTGATAAGCAAACTATTTCTTTTTACACTAAGCTTTATACAAAACTTAAGAAAAGAAAAAATCGTTAGATTAGAATTAAGGAATTTTAAGGACAAACATGTGTTCTGAATCACATTGTTTAAACACGAATCGATTTACACAACGAAAACAACTTATACAAAAGTTATTCAATTTTAAGAGAGAAATATAAAAGTTATTTACATATTGTATAGATTATATATTTCTTCTCAAATGCTTTATTATCATTACATTTTCTACGTTTAGGTATTTGGCGTTGCTGAGTTACCTCGAGATCTACAACGAGCGATTACGAGATTTGTTACAAGACGACACTGGGGAAACCCTGACACTGAAAGAGGACCCCACGAAAGGTACCTACGTCGCGGGTGGATTGCGCGAGGTCACCGTCAAAGACGCGACCGAATGCGCCACGTTGGTTCAACAGGGCGATCAAAGGAGAGCCGCAGCCGCGACGAAGATGAACGCTGCCAGTTCGAGGAGTCACGCTGTTTTAACTCTGTCACTCGAGGCGATCGCCATCAATGACGATGATAAACGTGGTAATGCTATCAGGAGAGGTCGATTGCATTTAGTCGATCTAGCTGGATCCGAAAGGCAAACCAGGACTGGAGCTACGGGAGATCGTTTGAAAGAAGCTGCCAGTATCAATCTGAGTTTATCGGCATTAGGGAATGTCATTAGTGCGTTAGCGGCCGGAAATGGAAGACATGTCCCTTACAGGTATTATGCCAAATCATTTTTACATAATTTTTCATGAACTTTCAGCTTTATCTTTTCTGATTTACACCACTACTTGATGAAGTTTTCATTTTACATTATTTACATATAATCAAAAATTGTATTTACTTAACTTTCTTATTTGAAAATTATGTCCAAACGTTGAAAACCCCATAAGAATTAAGAAACACTGCAATTGCAATTCAATTTTGACTTATCTTTCTTAGATGATTTAATTTATTATGCAATAAAATACAATATTATTTATAATATTATACTTATTTATACTTATTTATTACATACACATAATTATTTAACGCAGATTCCACTTTCTTAAGATTTTACAAATTATCGAAAAGAACAAAATAAAAAGTAATTATAAACTAAAGGTACTATGATTCTTCTCAGAGATAGTAAACTGACGAGACTGCTGCGAGACAGTCTGGGTGGGAATGCCAGAACTTTGATGATCGCCTGCGTAAGCCCAAGTGACATCGACGCTGAAGAGACCCTCAGCACTCTGCGCTATGCTGCCCGAGCTCGTTGCATCAAGAATAAGCCGATCGTCAATGAAGACCCTAAAGACGCTCTTCTTAGACAATATCAATTAGAACTTCAACGTTTAAGGAAGTTGCTTGACTGCAGCGACCCATTAAACGCTGGATCGGACTTCCAAAAAGATGCGGAGGAAGAGAGAAAGAAACAATATTCCGACGAGGTGATGCAATAATTATATAATTTTTCTATTATAATTTTTAATTTTACAAATATATATATGTATATAAATGTTCTTATTAATTATTCTACAAATATCTTTTTCACAGTTATTTTATACACTTATTGTTATTATTATTAATTATATATTGCTAATATAGTTTTATATAAATTTAATTATAAATTTTTAGAATATATATATAATTTGTATATTCAATATATAAACAATCTTCTATTTATCTATTTCTATGTAAAAAAAAGAGTTGCATATTTCTTAATTTAACTTCAAAATACAGTTGATACTTTTCACTTGCATACACGATACAAATTATACAATATATAACAATAAGAAAGATATAAATATGATTAAAGGTGGAGAGGCTACGGAAAGAGTGCGAGAGTTCAAATTTATCAGCTCAAAAACTAAAAGAGGAACTAGAAGCTCTGAAATTCCGTTACGAATCGGGATTAAACATGACGAACAATATTGACAAAAATGAAAATCTCAGTCAAGAATGTGAGAAGATGAATGAGTTGGATAAAGAACGAATGGAAAGAAGAAGAAAGAAAAGAGAGGCAGCTTTACAAGATGTTCTAAGAAGGTTGGAGAAACTGACGATTGGTGGAGAAGAGATCGGTAATGCGGAACTGAAAAAAAGGAGGGAGAAAAGAAGAAAGAAGCTAGAAGTTCTTGTAGGGGCGCTGGAAGCCAACGATGCCAATGGTAGTGTCTTCCAAGTATACGGCCAACTGAGGTTTGTACAATATTCATCAATGTTAATTTATTTGTAACTAGCTGGTTACCCGGGCTTCGCCCGGGAGTCGTTTTTCTTCAAACAACTTCATTTGTGTTTTAATATCCTTAATCGAAAAAAATTCCTTTATTAGTTCGGATACCAATTCCCAAAAAGATCGGTAACGAAAAACTATACAGTTTATGGCACTTCCTGGGAAATTCTACCCCTATTTTGTATACAACTTTTTAAGATTTGGTCAATTATTTCCCGAAAAATTGGAAAAATTTCGGATACCGGTTCTCAAAAAGATCGGTAACGAAAAACTATACACTTTATAACATTCCCCGGAAAATTCTACCCCTATTTTATATACTTTTGGTAAAAATTCGGTCGAATAGTTTAAGAGTGTATAAAGAACATACATACAGACATTCTATTTTATATATATAGATATTTGTAATTTATCTAAAGACTAAAATCATTTGAAAAAAACCGCACTATTTTAAAAAATATTTTGAAAAGTTATTTTTTTCTATTTTAATAAAAATTTAATAATAATTAAAAAAAATTGTTTTTTATTTTTAAAAAATAATATTCAAACAGAATAATGTAAAATAAAATTATGTTTAAAAAATAACAGATAAAGGATAGTAATAATATAAATATAATAGAAAAAAGCTTCCTCTATGAAGAAGCAAAAAAGAGATACTAGCTCGAGATTGAAGAACAAAATATTCACTTTTTTATGTCTTTTTTATGTACCTTATTTATGTCTCTATAAATTTTGATAAGTATATTTTTATTAATAATAAAGAAATGATCACTATTGATCATATATTTAAAATAACAGATCGACAGAAGATGCACTGAAGAAGATGGCGAAGCGAGTAAAACAATTAGAAGCTGAAGCCGCAGATCTCCAGGCATCCTGGGACGCCGAACGTCGCGAGCTCCTTCGAAGAGAACTGTTAACGTCCCAATTGTGCGACCTCATGGTACCCTATCTTCGTCCTGGCTGCCTCTTTCGAGATATTGCAGCGATGAGAGAGGCGGCGACCTGGTGCGATGAACTAGGACGATGGCGCTTGCCGGATGTGTCCCCTCATATACCTCTACCTCCAGCCGCTCCCACGGCGCGGGCGGATATTCTTCACCTCACCGGTATTTCCTCCAAGGCAGATCACAATAACAATAGTAATAATAATAGTAGCAATGACGAGAATGATAGTGATCAAGATAACGATAACGAAGAAGACGGTAGACGAGATATACAGAAAAAAAACGGCTGGAATGCCGTGAACACTTATTTTCGAAGAAGCAGAGTGGATACTCTTCTAGCACACGCAAGGGAAGCGAAGACTTTCGGTAAGATTATATCATATGCGCGCACGAGTATTATATGTTTATATTTATGTGTACGCTACTATTTAATTCGCTTATTTGCTGCAACAATG